TTTTTTATATAACAGTTATATAAATATATAAAATAACACTGTTTCATATTTTAAAATACATTTTTTTTTTTTGTAAATTTATGTGTGAATTATATTATTTCATAAAATTATATATGTTAGGTTTTTTCATTCTTAATACTTTTATTACATTCTTAATTCTTAAATAATATACTATACTAATATTTTAATACAATAACTTAATCAATATTAATATAATATCTATAGTTTTTTTTTTTTCAAATAGGTTACAAATACATATAAATATAATTCTTAAATACTAGGTTCAAAAGTTTTTTTTTTTTTTTTTTTTTTCAATTTCAAGAAGAAAAATTTAATTTGTTTGTTATTCAGATATTAATTTTGATTTATTTTTAACATCAAAAGTAACTGTAATTTCCTCGCATGAAATCACAACAAGAAATTTTATTCATCTGTCTCATCATTAAACTAACTTTTATTTCACCTCCTTTTTACAAAATCAATCGATAATTTATATTATACTACAAACCTCAAATATTCATTTGAAACCGTGTACACATATTATATAAATTACTAATTAAAAATTATGCTAATTACAAACTGCATAGTTGTCACTAACTGTTTTTAGAGTTTACCACAACATAATTACAGTAAATGTTAAGCAAAACTTGGTGGTGTAAACTTTCTCCTATTTATTCAGCATACGTGCCCAAACCATGTTTTTTATGTTGGACATACAAAAAAAGTTGAAAAAAAAGTAAAATTTCCCGCTTACATTTATTTATTATTGAAAGCCATCATTCAAATGAAATAATCCTAAAAGATGAAGAACTAAAAACATATCTTAGTGGAAGCTTATCGAGACATAAATTTTGGAGAAGTACTTGTTATTTTATTTATTTATGTCTGCAATGGTCAAATTTTTTTAGCCTATGGATCCAAATCTATGCGCTAAATCTACTTAAGATTCTTATAACATTGTCAGGGCCTATTCTAGGAAAAAAATTTGGGCAGCGGTTTCCCTTGTTCCGGCAAACTTTAAAGCAAATATTACTTTTTTGCAAAAAAAACAATACTTGCCATAAAAATTTAAAAAAAGAAGAGTCTATTTGTAACACTAAGCCAAAAATAACTTTCATCTATTGATGTTTTTTTTTAAAAAAAAAAAATTGGATTCTAACAAAGAGCCAAGTAACTATAGGTTATCCATGTTTTATAGATTATAAACGTTATGTTTTTGCTAACTTTTTCATGGTTCCATGAAAAAGTAAGCAAAAACATAACGTTTATAATCTATAAAACATGGATAACGTTTATAATCTATACTAACTAACTTCCAAGTTAGTGCAAAAAATGTTTATTTTTCTTTTGGCAAGTTTAATATGTTTTATAATACCATCACAAAGTATAACTCTTTAAGTAATGTCCTTTTAGATTTTGTATCTGGTTTCCCTCCCACATCAAATGCATTTTCAAAATTCCTAAAGGAGAAATTGTCATTTTCAAATTTACTTTTTTGTTTTGAATTGAAGAAGTTGCGAATGAGTTAAAAAAAATCATTAATTAACTTGTTTTTTGGAAATAGTTCTATTAGATTTCAGATTGATTGAAAGTTTCAGATTGATTATAAAGAACTACTTTTAACTCTTTCAGCGCAACGGTAAATTCTTGAACAACCAACACAACAGAAAAACATGAAAAACTATTAATAAGTCTTTTTAAGTATACCACAATTACTTGTCATATATTACATTTATATACACATGAAATATACCGTTAGAAAGATAAATATTTTTACTTTATAGATTCATAACCAGATTTTCAAAATATTATTTTAAAAAAAGATACTAAGAAATCTTAAAGTGAAATATTGAACAACAGTAAGTTTTTATTTAGATTTTTTAAAAATGGCTTCTTCAAACCAGATTTCAATTAAATCTAGTAAAAATAATATAGCTAGCCAAAGTTTTAACAAATGTGAAGATGAGGTTTTTATAAACATACTGTGCGAATTGCCAATACTTCTACAAAAAAGCCAAGTTCCAAACGTTAAAATAAAGAAAAACAAAACATTTTTAAAAATGCAAGACCAAATGTTCCAAGCAACAGGAACAAAAATTGAAACAAAAACATTGGCGAAAAAGATTGCCAACATGAAGACAAGGTTAAAAAAAAAGTCTGACATTCATCGAACTGGAAACAAGCCTATAAAACTTTCAGCGAGCGAAGTCAACTTGCTAATCTTTTAGATACAGAAAAGAATCCTACTTTCACACAAATTGATGGTTAGTAAAGACAACTTTATTTATAAACGTACATATTATTATATATATATATATATATATATGTGTATATATATATATATATATATATATATATATATATATAAATATACATATATTTTATATATATATATATGTATACATATATATATATATATATATATATATATATATATATATATATATATACATATATATATATATATAATATATATATATATATATATATATATATATATATATATATATATATATATATATATATATGTATATATTTGTATATATATATATATATGTGTATATATATATATATATATATATATATATATATATATATATATATATATATATATATATATATATATATATATATATATATATATATATATATATATATATATATATATATATATATATATATATATATATATATATATAATATGCTTAGGGGCAATATCTGCAGGCATAGATCAAACTCACACATCAAGTGTTGCTGAAACAAATTCTGTATTCAGCAACTCATCAAAAAGTCAAACTATATTTTCATTGTCACCATCAGTTGAATTTTCTGGTAATGTTAAAAGTAGTTGCAGTAAGTTACTATTGTGGTTTTTTATTCTTTAATAGAGTATAATTGCAGGACACCTGTTTCCTATATAATTTTATTCTTTTTATATTTTATGTAAAACTATCAACATCTTGGAGATTTTAATTTACAAAATTGATTTTTTTTCTCAGGGAACACATCTTCTCAAGCATCGAGGTTAATTTCAAAAAGATTAAAACTACCTGGTGAAACTAAAGAAACTATAAAATGGACAATTACAGAGCTTTAGCGTGTGGTCATGCTGGAGCAGCTAAAATACTATCGGTTGAAAAGTTTAAAGTTGAAATATACTACTCCCTACCATATAAATGAAAAGGAGATAGATATTGTTGTTGACATTAACGTTGATGGAAATAAAACATAAAAACGTGAAAATAAATTTTGGTTACTGTTAAATGTACGAAAATTTTAAATTTACTTAAATTAATTTTTTTACCATGCATTACATTTTCAACATTTTAAAACGTTATACATTGTAATAAAAAGAAGGGTGAGTTAATTTAAATTAATTAACGTCTTTATACATTTCACAGCAACTAAAATCTATTTTAAAATGTCACTTCTTTATGTTTTATTTCCAGTTAGTTTTTATTTTTCATTTTATTTCTTAAATGTCAGTTAAAATCTGTTGAAAAATATTTCTAAAATTTATAGCATAATAAAAATGTATTGCCAAATAATGCATATTTTAATAAAATCTTAATAATGAACATTTACTACATAAAAGCATTATCAAATAAGTTATTAAGTCATAAACATATTATAACTGACATTTGAGAAACTTTTGTTTATTTTACTGCAAATAAAACTTAAAAATGTTATGTTAGCACATCTTAAAAATTCTTTAAAATAGTTATTTATCTCAGAAAACTTTGAGAGTATATTTTTAATAATATAAACAATACAATAAAATAAAAATTATGTATGTTGTTTTCAATTTGTTACAAATAAAAAGACATTGCACTTTTAAAATTTTCATATTACAAAGTTAATTCTCTCTACATAAGTCTCTTAATTTAATATTGCCAAAGCAATTTCATTTCTACGCTGCTGACCAAGAAAACGAAGTTGCTGTTCAATTACAGGAACAATTTCTTCGTCATCTTCTTCGACATCTTCATCCTCAAAATCTGGATCGTTTAAAGTTTTTGCAGATTGTGCAGTATAAAGCATGCAGTGATACATGTAGCTATCATCTCTGGCTTAATTCTTACGTATAAGATTATTACACCAAGTTACATTACATTAAAGTAGTGGTACAAAAATTACTCTCGATTTATTTATCAGGAAAAAAAAAATTAACAACTATTATAGGTGCTCGTAAAATTAGAAGCAATTGCTCGCCGTTTTTTGAGTTGTAGCTTTTTTATTCACACACTTTTTTCAAATGTGAGCAATCGCTAAATATAAATCGCTAAATAAGCAAAAGCTCATGAGTAAAAGCTTTCGCGGAAAAAAGAGCAATTGCTCAAATTTTTTATTCACGTAAACTTGAGCAATTACTCCAAAAACGCTGAGTAAAAGCAAATATTCTTTTTTATTCACCCGACCTAATAACTCAACTTAAAGTTCTGGTAGATGCTAAAATGCGAACTTTAAAATATGGTAAATTATAAAAAATGATAAAATTGCGAACCATAAATCACTCGTTTAATTATAACTAGCTGTAAGCAACCCGTAATACGGGTTAGTAGTAATAAATCATTACTAACAATTTGATATTTATTTACTTTCTCTAATAAAATATAAATTTATTTATACAGTAAGCAACCCGTAATACGGGTTAGTAGTAAATAAATCATTACTAACAATTTGATCTTTATTTACTTTCTCTAATGAAATATAAATTTATTTATACATTTTTTAGTTGAGCTCACTTTTATTTTTCTTGGCTTCTTAGTTTAAGAGAACCCTTAGCTTCATTAAAGATAAAGTTAATCATAAAATGACTTGAATTATATGCACAGAAAATCGATGTCAAATTTTCAAATTCCGTAAAATTGTTTAGGTAAATATTGGGAATATATTCTACTCTTAATTTTGCTTTAAGCTGAGTCGTTTCTTTATTTTTTAAACTTTTCATTTTACTGAGTGAAGAGCTTAAAAATATGTCACTATCGCACCTAAACCTTTTAAATGTTATTAATACATTTTTTAAATATTTTTAAAACTTCTAAAATATTACACCTAAACTTGTAGGCATAGAAGTTGGATATCCGGAAAAACTATAAGTTGAAAAATATATCGCAATTCCGAAAAGGGCTTACCCTGCATACGGATCCTATACATTATGATAAAGATTATTATTTAAACCAACCTTATTTTTAATAAGTAATCCAGCAGAAACTTGTTTATAAAAAAATAAAGGAATATATGGATTTACTATTATAGCTAACGTGTATCAACATATTTATTTCAGCATACATCCAATCCATATTTATACTAATTTTACAAAATACATTTTGCCTTAACTTGGCGTTAGATTATTAGTTTTATTTCATTAATATTTGTATAGATCAGGTTAATAATAAAAGCAATTGGATTTTACTCAATATTTTTGAAGTAATTATTCAGCTTTAATAAAATTGATAAAATCATAAAAGACAGTTAAAAAATATATTTAAACCTTTGTTCACTTTTTGAAAATCCGTAAAAAAGCAAGTATCAAGTTTACTTATCTTTAAAAGAAATTTATTTACATGATATATAGTTAAATATGTATTAAAAATATTTTAAAACAAAAGCATATATAAAACACATTTTTCTTGAAGAAAAACAAAGTTGAAGCCACCATTTACAGCACCGAGGAGCCAAGCATAGCCTATTGTAAAGAAAACCATATCAAATAATTTAAAATATTTATTACCGATAGGGACGACAATTAAACATATTTAAAAAGCTACGTGATTCCATATTAGTAGAAATGTTATAGAAAAGTATATTAAAAAAGTATATTTAAAAAAAAGTGTATTAAATAGAAAACAGATTTTTAAAAACTACCTAATTTTGTAAGCATTTTGCCAATGATGTTCAATTTTGAAACCAATATCTTTAATGAAAAGCCGACTTGTTTAACTAATATCATTCAAAGAATAAAATTATTAACACTTAAAGATAAAGAAAAAAAAATGAATGAGATATAAACAATCGTACTATAGTATTATATAAATAAGTAGATATATATGGAAAAAAAAAACAACTGGAAAACAGTATACCTGCTTTTGGTAACCTATTGTGACACTGCAGCAGTTGCTGTAGGGATGCAGCTGTTCTTTTTGGTGTTGTTCAAAAACGTAATTTTTATGTTGGCTTTTAGTAAACTTTAGTTTAATTTAAAAGACATCACAACGGATTTAAAATATTCATAATAAAAAGAGCAAAACATAAAATGCTTTAAGGAGCCAAACTATAAACATAAAAGATAAAGAATGGAATCGAGATAAATAAATTGTATTTATATAGCTAAATATATTGCCTTGGGTTTTGGTAAATTTTAAAAGCAGTACCAAATAATTATTTTTAACAAATGAATGCACTTAGCGCAGTAACTAAAGTAAAAGAGCATTTAATTTAGCTATGCAAATTACATCACGCATGCTTAATTAAGTACGTTATGATTATCAACTTTAAAAAATGGCTAAAATTTAAACTCATTACGCAACTAATCAGTTTATTTACTAATAAGTGCAATAAACATATCTGTACATATAGATAATTTTAGGAGCTAACTTGTCTTAATTCCATTTTTGTGTAAATGAGTTTAATACAAACTTGTCGCATATTCTGTCGGGGCCAAATAGCCTTCTAATTTTTATTTACTGCGGTTTAACAGGAAACAAAAATCAATCTAGTCTTAAATCCATTTTATTAGCTAAAAAATCATAAAAGAGTATTACTATACTATCATATTTATACTTGTATATATCACATTTTGCTACTAAACATGTTTTAAATTGACTTTTGAGGTTGTTATCGTGACATAATCTCATGTTTGCAAACAAAGCTAACCGGACCCGGTCATGTTAAGCCTTCTAAACTCTGATTATTTCTATATTGAATAGATGGCCTCTTTATTTCAATAATTTTTTGCAAACGGTAAAGTAATTTGCTGCCATTTATTAAATATTCATTTTAATTCTCGAAGTTTCGGTTTCGTCAATATTTTGACATCTCCGCTAATTAAGAGCCCCTCCCCTTTTTTTTGTTTTAATGGTAGCCATGTGAGTAGAGTTTTTTTTATTAAGAGTAATCTATTTATGATGAAGAACTTTTACCAAAATAATAAAGCGTAAAACAACGATTTACATATATAAGAATTTCTTTCCTCAAAAGTGTTGCAACTGCAGACTAAACTAATCAACTTAATTTTTGACAAACTGCAAGTTTCCCTGTGTTTTTAACAACGAATTATTAAAGCATAAGATAGGGAAAACATCGGAAAAAAATATATATATTTATGTCTTTATATCTTTTTAACAAACGAACAAAATTTTACAAATTTAGGAAATCAAGTTTTTTTTTTAATATTGTATTTATACGTCATATGGTAAAATCTAAAATAAAAAAAAGTAACGGAATTATAACATCATATATATATATATATATATATATATATATATATATATATATATATATATATATATATATATATATATATATATATATACATATATATATATATATATATATATATATATATATATATATATATATATATATATATATATATATATATATATATATATATATATATATATATATATATATATATATATATATATATATATATATATATATATATATATATATATATATATATATATATATATATGTATACACACCACATATAAACACTGAAAACCGATTTACCTGTTTTTGTAACCTTTTGATATTGCAGTTAATACAAACATTTATAGAAAAAAGTAGCTATAAAATCTTTTTCGAAGTACTAAAGGATTAACAATACTATAGAAAAAAAAAATCAAATAAAGACATAAATTGAAATTTTAGCAAGATTTTGTCTTGGCTTTTAGTAAATGAATAAAAGCAGCAAGTTCCAATAATAAATTTATCTATTATTCATTTTTAACGATAGACACCAACGGGAAGGTAAGCCAAGCTGTCTATCAACACAAAACATCACAAAAATATAACAATATTATACATTATAACAATACATTACAACATTATAACAATAACACATAACATTAAAACATATTCACACCTATATAACTAATATTTACACCCTTGACTCTAAAACCCAGTGGAAAATAACAAACCAATTTTAAAAGAATATGAAAGGCAAAACTAAAAAAACAATTTTGAGTTATCTATATTTATCCTTTTACTAAACTTTAATATAGTATATTTGCTTTTATATTCAATATTAGTTATTCAATTATTTTTAAATTTAAGGATCAAGGTTGCATACTCTTTTATACACATTACACAAAACATTACCAGTCATTATGTGTTTCCAGTATAATTAAAAAAAGCTGGAAGGCACGACCTGGCTCTAAAGCAGTAACACCGCCTGGCACAAAATGGTGCCAAGTCACACCTCTGCTATAAGTACACCGCTTGGCTGGCAAGGTTAACAATCTTGCTTTTGCCAAGTCACACCTTTTGCCAAGTCACACCACTTTGAAAACATGGAAACAACATAATGTAAACATATATACAACTATAAACAAATATGACTTCATATAACACATATAAACACAATATATAACAATATTAAATGACAAATATATTTATCAAAAACTATGAAAAAAATAAAAATATTAAAGTTACACATACAAAATGTGCTCACAACCTACAAACAGTAAATTTTAGAAATGAAAATATTAAGACTATAAATTAAGAACATTAGAAAATATAACATTATTTGTGTAGTATTTTTCACCTACCATACCTTGAAAAGGATGTTTATTAATTTTGAAAAACAAACTATTAAATGCTCTAGTTCTTGAACATGCAACGTATAGTTGACCATGGGAGAAACACGGTTTTTTTAGATATACCCCAACTCTATCAAATGTTTGACCTTGACTTTTATTGATTGTCATCGAATAAGCTAATCTGACAGGAAACTGACGACGTTTTAGAACAAAAGGTAAATTAGAATCTGATGGAGCCAACTGAATTCGAGAAACAAATACCCGTTTACCTTCAGAAACACCTGTCAAAATCTCTGCATCAATATAATTGTTTTGGAGAGCACAAACTTTCATTCGGGTTCCATTACATAGCCCAGCTTTAAGATCTAAATTTCTAAGTAGCATAATTACACAACCAATTTTCAATTTTAAACAATGAATAGGCATACCTGAAGGAGTTAAGCTGTTCAAAAACTCAACAGGGAAATTATTTATTTCATTAAGATCGTCAGTGTCTATTTGATCAGCACTTAAATAAGTTTTGACCTCTCCATGTAGACGTTCAAACACTTCTTTATTGATTGACAATGAATCCACATTAGTGGGTGTTAAAATGACACGTTTAGCATAATCATCTTGTTGAGCATCTCCAAATATTTTTTCAACAATTGATTCGTTTTCTCTAATAATGCACTGTTGAGGTATTTTAATACATCCCTTAAAAGGATCTTCCTCCTTGCCATTTATTGTTCCACTACCAAGTTTTAACAGCCATTCGGAAAAATCTCCTTCTCCATCACGTACTCTCATATTTTCAGTTAATGTAAACTTCTGCACCCATTGCCACTGTAAAGAACATTTTATACATGATTCTACAACTTCAGCTGGTCTCCCTCTTTTCTCAACAGGCAAAATTTGCCTAAAATCACCACCAAAACAAATGACTTTTTCTCCAAATGGAAAGTTGTTGTTGCAAACATCTTTTAACAACCGATCGATTGCATTTAAAGCGTGTTTGGATGTCTCGTCAAGCATAAACAAACTAACTTGCCTTAAAAAATGTCCCTGAATAGAGTTAGGAGTCACATTACATGTGCTGTTATCCAGTATTGGGACAGGAAGTTTAAATAACCCGTGCAGCGTAGATCCATTTGTAAGAAGAGTTGCTGCTATGCCAGTCCATGCAGCTGTAGCAGATTTAACACCCCTACTGCTCATTTCAGCAATCAAATAATTATATGTAAAAGTTTTGCCACTACCGGCTGGTCCATCCATAAAAAACAATCTGGAATGTTGATTTTCTACACATGGTTGCTCGTTCAATGCAGCAAGGACAGCGTTACTTACATTTAATTGATTGACATTAAGAAGCGGTCTCATTCTATTAGCTTCGTCAATTGATTGCTGAACATTATCATTTAAATTTTCTAGATTAAAATCTATGAATTCATCAACAACAGGCAAATTATAATCAGATAGCGTTTTACCACTTTGATTAATAATCTTTTCGATTTGAAGAAGAGTAGTTGTTCAGCTAATATAATGGAACTTGGCGATGAATGAAATCTTCCATCATAAAAGCTTTGTATGAATTCCAATGATGCAAAGGGTCATCAGGTTCACAAAAGGTTAAAATAATTGAAAACAGCTGCCTGATTTGCTTAGGCATTCGCGTTAAAACTGCCTCAGAAAGAGTATTCTGCCATTCAGTGTCATCTTGCAACAAACCATTAAAAACACACGCTTCACGAAAGGTTTCAAGAACTATTCCAATAACAGTACGCAAATCCTCCCAAGATTTTGCTCCTTTTGCTTGTAAAAGTAACAATCTAAGAAAAAATAATTCTCCTGTTGGACTAACTTTATACATTCTTACTATCACCTTATTTCCACCTCTTTGTCTAACCTTCCATTTACAATGTTTATCATCAAATACAAAGTGATATGGAATGTCAACATATGAGTAGTGATTGGCTCCTTCATTTTTAGAATTCAATTTAAACCAGGACGTAAGGTGTGTACCACGATGAGCAGCACGATCTAAAGCCACTTGATCTTCTCCTTCTCTAAAATACACAATCTGATTCTCAGGAAGATGAACCTTAAGACGGATAATAGAGTGTGACATATGACTTATGGGATACTCAAATATTCGCCACAGTGCCTCAGGTGCACTAACATAACGACAATCTAAGAAAGTGTTTATTTCATCGTGATTAACCTGTTCATTTATCAAAACATTCGCACAATCATGCCCTTTGTATATGTATTTATACAAATATTTAACAGCCTTTACAGACATGCAAGCTTCAACATTAATGTGGGCTTGGTTATCTACATTGTTGCCTTTAATATTGATAACCAACCCATTATCACGACGCCTATAGCGCGGATAACCATTGTGAACAGCTACTGTGTTGGCATTAAAATCTTTAGGATAATTTTTGCTGCACACCCCATCTTTCATGCAGGGAGAATTTGGATTCAGTATCCCACATGGGCCGTGAATCATGCAAATTTTGATAATATCATAAAGTTCACAATTAACTATCGGATCTGGAATTTCTGCACAAATCAAATTATCGATATCCTGTGATGTTTCAAGTTTATCATCATTTGCTAAATGAAGTAAAATGTGGGCATGCGGCAAACCACGCTTTTGAAACTCAACAACCTGAACATGCGTTACAACTTTGCCTAATACACCATGTTTGAATATATCATTGAGGAGGCACTGCTGTTTTTACTATCAGGGTATTGCTTTTTACTTAAATAAGTAAAAACATTTTGAACAAGGTCGTCTTCCATGATAATTTTTAAGATATATGCGCACTAAGCCACTGTCATGTATATGAAAACACTTGGCTCAGTGGGAGATTTATGTATTGTGAATATATTATTCGTTTGCCACAAAAAAAAAAGTCAAAAAATGTTTAATCTTTTTGGGAAACGCAATAGAAAAACTTTCAAATTCTACATGAAGTCACTTGAGGTCCGTAAATAAAACTCTACTTTTATGCGGTTGTTTTTTTCAAACGTATAAAATATACAGCAAACTACGAAGATTTACGTTCGCTATAAAATCTGTTTACCAAACTAAAACGTAAGCTAATTGTTTTTTAACAAATAGTTTAAAACATATTTCATTTAGAAACTTAAATCGAAAAATATTTTCTTCTTTTATTTTTTAGTTATATAATAAATTCATATTGTCATATTAGCATGAGCTCAAAAAAACTTGGACGACCTGTGAAAGTTTTAAACAAAACTCGTATTAATAGTGGAAGATTTGCTGGAAAAGCCTCTGATTTACCAGTAAGCGATCTACCAACTTATAAACAGGTCATTCAATACGGTTACAAGGTTGAGAAAGAATTGTTTAATGGACAGAAACTTGACTCTGTATCAATCGTAACTAAAGTCAATAGTGACTTGCAACAGCTTTGGTGTTGTTTATCAGAGGTTTTATCTTTTGTTGTTAGTTTTATCATTGTTTTTATCAATGGTTTTATCATTGTTTTTATCAATGGTTTATCTTTTATCAGAGGTAGATTTGGATTGTTAATCCAAATCTACCTCTGATAAAAGATAAACCATTGAAAAATAAAATATCTAGAACATTTCTAAAGGTGTTGTCTGCAGAACGAACTCAATCTAAAAACCATAAGTCCAGTATAAGCTGGCTAGAAAAGAAACTGGAAACATTGTTTGATGTGTCTGCTTGCCGGTGCGATCTTCCAATTATTGATGACTGTCATGATAGGTAAACATACATTTTTTAACGTTTTTTATTACAACTTTTTTTTTAATGTTAAGTGAAAAAGATTTTGTAAAGGTAAATGAAAATTTACAACCCCATCCCTCTGCCTTCTACTAAGGTATTAAAGTAAGGCATACAACCGTAAACTAACGGATGTAAGCCTATCCAATAAATAGTTTCTATATTGTTTTGATTTTAAAGTAGAATAATATACGTTTAGACGAATTGGATGTCAGAAAAGTAATTGCACAATGAAACACATAGTTTGTCTCTGTGAGGAAAGTAGAAAGGTAATTCATGCCATTTTTGTGTTGATATTATAAGGCATTTACAGTTAAAATTCATAATAATGTAAGATTTGGGAAAATAAAATAGTCTAAAGTCATTTTAAAAATCACTGCTCTTTTACGAAGTTATGTTAAAATTATTATTGATTACTAATCATTTGACCGTTAATTCTTTCTATTTACTTTAAACTTAAATACGTTCAATTTTAGAATATTTGACTTATTTTAGGTCCCTGTTCTGGAAAGAGAATATTTAAAGGACCAAAGATGCAAGATAGGACCAAAAGGAAGTTGGCAGTTAGGCAATGTGGACCATGTGGAGGCAACAAGGAACGCCAAAAAGTATATTAGAGAGGAAAACGAGGCAACTAAAAAGCTAATTAGACAAAAAAATCTTCAAGAAACATTAGAAGCTGATTCAAATGGTAGTTTTAGTGCTGAATCTTCAAGTTTAGATACAACTGAAAGTGAAGAGTTTGAGGAGCAAATACTTAGTGAAAGAAATTATACCGAATTAACTAATTTGGCCAAAGCTGCAATTAATACAGCTGATGCTGCAGCATCAGCTGTATTAATTGACTACGTAACAGCAACAGCTGTATTAATTGACTACGAAATAGTAAGTACCGTAGAACGGCAGAACTTTGTTAGGATTTTGAGCATTTTTGCAAAATAAATCTGGTTTATTACAATTTTTTCTGATTTTTTTTTTCCCGTTATAACATTATACCTTTCCTTTATAAAATTCCATTAAATATTTTTAATTTTTTTTTGTCTTAATATATATATTTTTAATCCAAAATGTTATCAATCTCACCCCGTCGTTTGGGGTGACTTTGATAGTCTATTACTTCTTAATGGCTTATTGATTTAACCCTCTTTACAGTGTCGCTAATACTTTCTTTTTGACTTTTACTAAATTAGAACACAACATAAACTTATAAGATTTACTGGTAAAATTATAAATTTAGACAACAAATTTGGTTATCGAATATATCTACAGAATGGACTAAGAAAAAACAAAAATAAATTTGATGTTAATATGCTAAACACAGAAATATAATATATCAATAACATTGTTATAGTAATTAGCAGTTATAAAATTCTGTCTAAAATCCATTCTATATAAAATTCTGTCTAAAATCCATATAAAATAGTTTTTTACTAGCAGACGTATATCTAACTTATCTAAAGGTAACTTCCAATCTGTCAGAATGCTAATAATTTGTAAAATCTTTTCTTCTGTATGGGGCTGTAATCTAGTCTGTCCTCCAGGGTTTTTCATATGTCTTAGCTTACTCTTGTTGTACAGAGTACTATATGGTATAGCATATATCTTAGATGCCTTGAAAATCGATATTCTGTTAGTTGAGATACTTACCAAGGCATTTTGCAAGTCTTCTGCTGTGTAAGATGCATAGGATCGATTACCTGGTTTACGTTTATAAGTTTTCATAATCCTTGCAATTCTCCTTGTGATATTTTTTGTTTTAACGTTTTTTTTAACTAGAAATAATCGTTTGAAACATTAAAAAATTACAATAGGATTGAAATATATAATACTAAAAATCATTTGAAAAACTGAAAAACAAAATTGTTTTGATTTTTCTGCAAATGTGATTGAGAGTAACCAAAAACGAGTGGTATATTCCAGTGGTATTATAACTGGAAAATACCACTTGAACATCTAAGTATAGATTTTTAGAAAAAAATTTCAAAAAAATTAAAATCACAAGATTTTTTGGCATTTTTTGGTACGTGTAAAAATCGTTATTTTTTTGTTATAGTCATGTTATTCCTAACACATTTGCACAATTTAGAATCACTTCACAATCATTAAAATTTCAAAAATATTAGCAGAATATAATTATGTACAAGAATAAAAAAAAAAAAATAGTCTCTAATTGTGCAATTTCACATTTAAATCATTATTTTTGTAACTAACAGACGAAGTTATCAAAGTCACCCCGCGTATCAAAGTCACCCCGTTCTACGGTAAGAGTAAAAAATCTCAGATAGTGACAGAATATAAGGTATTTTGTGAAAAAGCACGAGTGGCTAAATCAATTGAGATTACGCATCGTCAAAAAGTTTTAGAAGTAAAGGTAATTGGTGTTGATAGCAAGAAAGACAAAAATTCATTAGTTCATGTCATGAAATACAAGAGCAATGGGGACCCTTTTTTTTATCGAACTACCAATGATGAACATCATCTCACTTTTACTTGTGAAAATTATCCATTCTCTGGAAATTATCTCACACATGTGATAATAGAAAATGGTAAAGGTGGTACTATGGCTCTAGCAACATTAAATGTGCTTTCTGAATACAACAGTGTTAAAAGTTTAGAAGCGATTATTCTTGACAATACAAGCTCTAACACTGGCGTAAAAAATGGTTTAGTTGTAAAATTAGAAAAGCTTTTGAATCGTAGCATTCATTTAGTTGGATGTTTGCTTCACCAGGGTGAGTTACCTCTTCGTCATGTTATATCTGAAACAGATGGACAAACTAATGATCCAAAAAAATACAAAGGTCCTATTGGTATACAAGCATCTAATATATTCATGCATGAACAACCTTTGGTTCAGTTTATTCCTATAGATTCCGAGATAGAGTTTTATGTAAATCCCGCCATTGTTTGCGATCTGAGTACAGAGCAGCGTAAACTTTATGAGTATTGCATTGGAATAGCTAAAGGTTCAATTTCTGTGAAGCATGCTAATAAGAAACCTGGTCCTGTCAGTCATGCACGCTGGCTAACCCTTGCTTTAAGAATTATGATGGTTTATGCAAGAACTGAGATACCTACACATGATCTAAACTGCATCACAAAGTACATAGTCCAAGTCTACTGTCCAATGTGGTTTGCTGTAAAAAGTTCAGCGCATTACAAAGATGCACCAAGGCTTCTCCATAAAACAATACAGTTAGTCAAAAAACAGGATGACAGAATTAAAAAGATTGTATTGAAAAATCTTCAGGGTAACTCCTATTGCTGCTGTCAAGAAAAATTTCTTTACGCTATGCTATTAGACGATGAAAAAGTTGTACGAGATCGTGCTCTCAATAAAATCTTGGAGATTAGGTTATCTAGGGAAACTAATCCAGACTTTAAGCCTAAAATCCAAGCTAAGACAATTATGACCTTGAACTTCAATGCTGATGTTTGGACCGATTTAATTGAAGTTTCTTCAATACAAATTGAACCTCCCACTACAATTTTTGTTTCTTCAAATGAGTTAAAACAAGCTATTCAAACCGGAAATAAACTTTCTATAGCTGACTTGCCAAACAATTCTCAGCCGGTGGAAAGAGCTGTAAAACTAACATCTGAAGCTTCTAAAGGTTTATGGACGGGTGAAAAGACATAACTTCATTTTGGCTAAGAACCAAAGGAGAGCCGAAAACAAGTAAAATGTGAAAAAGTTTGAATATTGTATACTTTTGTCAGACTAATTTAACAATCTTGTATAATGCAAATATAATATATATATATATATTGAATACAATAAATAAATATAATATATGAATTTTTCTATAACTCTCGATGATTAGCACATATAAATTTGAGTTCAATATACTATTTTATGAAAAGACATTCAAAAACGTTATTCCAGCATCAAACTTGGTTTAACTTTCAGTGTAAAGTCTATAAAAGCGTTCAAGTTCCTGTATAAGCTAAAAAGACCCTGACCCAAGCTAATTTTAAACACCAACAATTTTGAAGACCTTTTTGTTAACAATCGAGTTTAAAACTA